TCGCACCTGTCCTTCTTCCACCCGATGGAGTCCCCCTCACCCCCACTCGCTCTCTCTCTCTCTCTCTCTCATTCGCGCCACGAGCACGCCGGCCCGCGAGTGTGTACGCGCGTGTACACACAACATGCGCGCGCGCGCGCGCACGCACACGCACACGCTTTACGTTCCCGTTCTGTTTTCCTTTCCCTTCCTCCTCCTTTCTCTTGGTCACGCTTCAACACCTTTCCCTCATCCTCGTCCCTCTTTCGAATTTTGTGGTAAACGAGTCTCTTTATCTTCCTTTCTTCCTCCCTTTCTTCCCGCGTCCCCCACGGTTTTTTTCCCTCTCTCTCTCTCCCACGCCGGCCCTCTCTGTCCTACCCTACTCGAGGTTACCGCCGCTGCAGTCGCTTCTTTCTCTATCGGATATACCACTTGCCACCGCGGGGCTAACGCGGTATCGCTTACTCGCTCCCTCGCTACCGCGCTCTCCGGCGGAACTCCCGACCGCTTCGGAGACAGCCAAATAAATGTCTCTCGGACTACTTGCACCGACACTTCTCCGCTACGCTTAGCTAATTCGGCACCGTACAAAACTTCGTAACCGAGATTTACAAAGAATGCTCGGAAATTGGCCAATTAATTGCGCGGTTTACCTTCGTCCGTCACTTCCTTCCCGGTAACAGGTTAAATATGCGAATTGCATTTTAACGTAATTGAAAAATTAAGAATTGATAGCACGATGAAAAATTAGGGGGAAGCCCACCACGAGCGCCATTTGTGTGATCGCAGAGTGAATTGCGAGTTTACGGAAGAAGAAGGTCTTTCTAAGACGGCGTATTTTCGCGCAGCCGTTTGTCGATCAAGCTCGAACGAGCGATGGCGCGAAAAGACAGAAAAACTCAAGCGGGCGGAGATGAAAATTTGGTCGGCGGGAATGAATTTCCACTTGGCGCGTCTAATATTGTTTAAAATGGTATAATTTATTTTGACGTCGCGGTAATTTCTGGTGCGCTCCGGCGCGATTAATAATCGCACGAAAAACATACGCAAGATATTCTATGGATTTGAAAATGAATAAAACCTTATCATGACACGTCGCAGGCCGGCAATGCCCGATAAGCGCCGAATGAACTCGTTAATGCCGACATTCCTATTACGCTCACCAACTTTATTGGGTAAAAACGCTCTCCCTTCCGCTGTCATCGCACTCTTATGCACGCGACAGTCGCGCACCGCGGCCGGATATACACACGTGTACACACGTGAAAGGAAGGGAATACCGCGACGTTGGCCGGGCGCGCCGTAGCGCGGTGCTCTCCCGAATGGGCGTGGATAAACGAGCGGAAAAATGGCGGGGTTTGGAAATGAGATTTGCTGGTAAACCGACAATTTATCGTAGGTATCTGCGAAAGCATCTCTTGACGTTCCTCTGACCAGAGTTATAATTAATACGCTCTCGTCACAGTGCGCCCGACCAATATTCCGTCGCGCCCGCACACGTACACAGTCGGAGCCGCACCGCGCGGCCGCCCCGCGTACGCGTGCACCGACGACGGCGCGCGAATCTGTGTGGTCGCGCTCGCGCACCGACGTGTAACCGGTTGTTGATTAAGTTTGAATGACTGATGCCGCAAAAACACATTAAAACTTGAATGAGTACAGATGAAAATTTAGTCGCTAGGAATCAAGAGACCGCAGAGGCAAATGGCCTGGCGGCCGCACATACGCGCGGACGGAACCTCCGCCTCCTCCTCCTCATCCGCCTCCACCGCCCCGCTCGCCCTTCGCCCTTCGCCGTGCGCCGGCACCCGGCGTCCTCTCCGTTTCCTCTCTCTTTTGCGATCGGATGCCCATCGAAATACAACTACGCGAAAAACACTCGGCGATTGCTATATCCGCCGTCCGGAGGCACTCGCGTCTGGTTGCATACCGCAACGGAAACAGCCTGTGTACTCTGGTCGGCTTTCGACGATCGTTTTTTCGACCGATCGATGAGTCGGCCGGAGCAAGATCACGGTTCGTCCGGGAGGCCGTTTTGAGCTTGATTCCAGTAATAGAGAGAATAGAGTTGCGATAGCGCGCCTCTCCCTCTCTCTCGCTCGCATCGCCGTCGCGGATTCGCGGTTGTCCCCTGCGATTTATAGATCTTTAGCATCGCACGCCACGCATTTACATCATCTGCCGCGGCGATGCTAAATCATGGCACGTATCTCTAATTTCGCAATATTTCCTTCCATCGAACCGCTCGGAGTATTAAATTTATTACACGGATCGACACGGGGCGACCATCTTTTTTTTTTCGACAAAGATTAGCATCCGCTTCTCCGCCATTCTATCTTAATTGGACTGTCAACTCGACGTCCAAGGGACCCGTCGTTGGGAAAGCATAAGACCCTTCATTGTCCAGCGTTGCGATCGCGATTATTCTTCTCCACTCTCGCGACAAACGTTGCGGACGAAGACGAGGTACGTATCGGATTCACGTGGCCGTGCAATCTATCGCGTACGCAAGATCCGCGGATTATCATAAGACAACCGGAGGAACAGATTATCCCGACTGTCGTCCCGTAAATACGTCAGCATCGATGGAAAATCGCGGATCCACTTTAGCGTGCGCTCGCCAACGGAAATGGGAATGGGGATCCATCAAGCGGCGACTCGCGACTGCAACCGTACGGCAATAGCGACGGCAGTGATTGCCGAGGGGGAGAGAGCCGCGAGATGATCGTTTCCTCAATAAAAATCGTCAACCAGATCGTAGCTCACGCACCGATACGGGACCGCGCCACTCCCCGTCGGTCCAATCAGAGGCTCCCATCGCCTTAATGTATTCAAATGTAAGCGGTAGCAGTGTTTATGTCTTGACATTGCAAATTGTAGCGGCCGCGCCATAACTTATAGTAATTGCTGTGCGCCGGAGTAATTATTTATACTCGTGATATAGCGCACGGGAGTTACTCACAGCCGCGGGATCTGTGTATACACCGACACCGAGGCCCATTGTGCACGTGAATATCGAAAAGGGGCGAGCAGAGTGCGATATTAAACCCGAATTTAAGCGGACGAATCGGCGACTTCGATGCCTCGCACAACGTAGGACGGTACCTCGTCACACAAGGATCGAAGAAAGAAACTATAAAAGCCGCGATTCTCCTTCGCCCCGTTTTCCTTACGTTTTATAAGAGACGTAATGATTCTTTAATGAAAGGAGCATTGTCCGTACCCCACAGGTGCCTCGAGTCGAGCGAGACGTCTTAATGTCCGTGCACTTAATTATACCAGTTTTAATGACACGTAATAATAATGCGTACATTTGTAGACGGTGGTGTCACGTACTGTACAGAGAGATAAGTCGGTGTCTCTCTCTTTTTTTACTTTCTTATTTGTATTTGTATACCTTTCGGTACAAATTGTATCGACAAATGTTAGAAATTCAGTTAATTTGCATCGCAATTTTCAGCAAATTAGATACATTTGCAACGAGTGGTTAATATACGCGGTATTATAATTTTACAGGCACCCTTTGACAATTGCGTTTACGAATAAAAAATTTTAATCTCAAACATGTGTGCCGCCATCTCACTGTCAATGCTCGAACTTGCACAGGTTTTCAATACGTTAAAACTGGTTATAAATAATACTACGTCACGGCGACAACTACATATTTATGACTATTTAAATCAGCCAGATAAAACAAATGTTAAATTCGCGATGATTTGTTAAATCGCTCGAATTCCTCGTAAATTTTTGGATATATTTTTGTTATGCATTCCGGTCGCGTAATCGACTGCATCATTTAATTACCTTTGTCAGTAACCGATCATTTCATCTACAAAAAAAAAACCCGCAAGTACGTGCATCCCAAGAATAAGACTAAGGGAATTTACAAAGTTCGCGATTTCTGTCGATAAATCAGTTTAAGCATTCAGTCGATGAGAACGCGGGTGGTTTTGCGGTGTAACAGGTGGTTGAAATTCTCATTCTCCACAGCTTTTTGCTCCTTTATCGGCAAAAAAGGAAAGAATAAGTTCCAGTTTATGAATCGGAGCGCGTTTAACGCTCCTTAAAAGGGTAAAGCGCCTCCGATGGCTCTCTCAACGAGGAAAATTTCCGTGCTTTTACGAGATCGTGGAATATGGTAGATCGTGGAATATTGGTAGAATATGTAGGAGCAGCTTTTTTGCGAGACAGAATTGTAACACTTACAATGAGATTGGTTTGCATTCTGTAAATTTATTTATTTTGCCGATGAATGTATCGTTTATACAAGAATAAAAAAAATAAGTAATAAACGTCGTGTCTTTCTCAAAGATTGTACTTTAACGTTACATTTTTCTTTTATCACAAACTCGTTACACCGTTTTAACACGTTAAATGCCAAGAATATGATATCCGCCGCTATGATATCGCGTTAATATAGGAATAAAATTGTAATTAACGATAGAAGATTATAAAAAAAGTTTAGGAAATTTTACACATCGTGGATCGAGGGTTAACTTAATAACAAAATTTGTAAAAGGACTAACGTATAATTTTAAATTATGCATGTAGCTGTTAATTTATCATTTACGTGGTACGTCACGATCCACGTGGCAGTGAACGTGTTAATTAATACAATACTGACCATCGTTAAAAATCGCAGACCGCTGAAGAGTTATCATCACTCGTACAATTATTGATTAACGTAAAATTATAATTTCTGATTAAAACATATATTTAATTAAATAAGGATAGAAATATTTACAGGGCTATTCACATATTACGCATTGCGGCAGACTTAACGAAATATTAATCTATTAAATATAATAGTTTGATACTTAATAGTTTAATCTATTTAAAGCTTACGAGTCTTTATCTAAATGGCGAAGACGCAGCGTAACGATGCATCGAGTACTCAATCCTGCAGACAGTCAATTTCACGCTTTGGCACGAAACCGCATCTTATTGTCGATAATGAGCTTGTTTATCTTTAAGTTTATCTTTATTCCTTAACGTATTTATTAGAATTAAAAAAAATACGGCGCCTAGCAAGAAATACATCGCGCAAAAATTCTGCTTCCCCGATTATTCATGATTTATGCAAACCGTTATCAAATGATAAAATATGTAAAATGATATTTTCATGGCACACTGTCGCCAATCGATCGACTTGAAAGCGTAAGCTTTCAATTAAGAATCCAAAAGCACGTAATTTGCTCCTTCATATTGAATATTTAAAGTACTTGTTGAATTTTGATTTTTTTTTACTCTTAGCTAATAACGATCACCAAGGTCTCCACATATCGCCGTTTAAAGAACCTGCCGGGCTCGGTGGGAATTTATCGGAATTTGAATTGCAGTTTCGCGGCGTCTGGCAATTCTGACTTCCTGGCAAATCTTGGACAGGAATTGCGGGAGATTGCTCATTTGTGCTCTTAAGCACGTCGGTATTATTCATCGAGGAGGTCGAACTAGTGGGTTCTTGATATCTCGGTCTCTTATCCGAGATCGCCAAAAGCCCGTCGGAATGACGTTTCCTGAGACCGTCTCTCTTGAGTAGCAACCCACTCGGAGCGCGATTGTAAGTTTTGTCCGTAATCACGGAGAGCGGTTGTCGCAAACCGTGCATCGCCGTGCCGTTCGTATTATTGGCATTGTCCAAACTTTCCACGGCGTCTTTTTTGGCCGGGACATTGTCGTCCACGGCCTTAGATTCCAAGAATGCCGCTGTGGGTGACTTTCGGTCGCTAGTCGAGCTAATTTGCGGTTTCTGGGTCTCTGGCGAGGACGAGAAGCTCTTTGAGGACGCAGGGCTCTGCTCGGGTAATTTGAATCGATGTTGCGGCTGATGATGGTTAGGCGTCGTCGCCTGCGGATGTTCCGAATGATGACTCTCGTCGCCGTAACTCGACGTGGAAGTCGAAGGGCTCAGCAGCGGGGTGTGCGGTCGGTGAACCGCGGTAAAAGCCGACGACTGACCGATTCTCGCGGATGAATCCGTGGCCGGTGGAAAGAAGGGAAAATTCGCGGAGATGCCGGCGGATTGCGGCACCAAGAATGCCAGCTCGCCCGTCGGCAGTCGGCTCGGGATCAATTGGATCCGTTCTCCGTTCGGTATCTGTATTCTCGCGCTGCCGTTGTTATTCTCATCCCCATTCTGGAAATCGCTCTGGAAGCCAACCTTTACCTCCGGGTAGAGGCGCTCCGGCATGTAGGGCATGTACTGGCTGTAGAATGGCGCCATTTGCTGGAGATGGCTCACGCAGCTGTTCAAGTGTGATACCAATCGTTGCTTGATGGTGGGATCGACGTTCTCGAGGCGGCTGACGTATCGCGATACTTCGGTAGCACATTCAGAAAATCCAGAACGGAATTTCGTTAGCACCACTGGATCGTTGGAGACGGCCGCGTTCAACTGCTGTCGCTGCATCGTTTGTATATGCTTCACCGTCATTTCGAGGATATCGGCCTTCTCGAGTTTCGAGTGCCTAGTTGGCTGTAACAGGTAAAAATGGTCTAAGTATCAATATCAAGAATTTATAATCATTCATAATGATTCATACACGTGTCAATAAAAGCATTATTATGTTGTCCGTCGAATGCAACTGCCTAACGGAAAGAAATGACCTTGAAATGACCTCAATGATCTTCCGGTCGAGAAGTTAGAGAGCGTAACGTGCATCGGTACTGAAAGAACTCTGCGTTATCCACAGAAGCTATTTGGCGGTGAAGCTAAAGGACCTTGTACGCGGTAAAACGGGTCTACAATGGGGTTCCTTCTTATTCGAAGCACAGTAACTGCGGCTAGAAACGAGCTTCTTGCTAGAAGAAGGATCTTTGATCGGACATCGATCCTTCTCTATCGAAGATAACGCACGATGACGCGACACGCCCATATAATTGACTTGATGTGAACTGCTACCGTAATAACAGACTAGCAACTACGGTAGCTAATGCAACCCATTTCGTAGTCAGCCTAAGGGCGTTTAAGGACGCTTTAGCTCTCGCATTTTCTTAGATTTTTTTTATTAAATTGCACGCGCAATAGATCGTTAACTTGTTTTATCCAAGTCGCGCGTGAATTGCTCGAGGATGTTTACCTGTCGCCAACATACTATTACGGAATAATTTAGCGATAATCTATCGATAAGCGAAAGAATTGTATAATATATACATATGTATAATACATCACACATACATATTGTATATACAATTATTATAATATTTACATTACATTATATAATTTATTACATCTGAATTTATTCAATTAAATCATTAGTATAAATAATGTTACGGAGTTAAGGTTGCTCGTAAAATGAGCTATTTACAAGCGATCAATTGAGTCGTGGGAAACGATTCGGCTCTCAAAAACATCGCGGAGCGGTTTTTCAGATATCCTGATGAACGTGACCTTCCCCGAATCGAGCTTATGCCGTATAAATTCCCATCAGCCCTTTAACCACCAATACCTCAATAGTAGAACGGTCCTCTTTTTCGAGGGTCCATTGTATCCTCTCAATTCTTTGAACCTTATCCTGTCGGATCATCCTGATGTTCGCATTTTTATGGTAAATTTGCGATCGCCTGAAGAATGAGCGTGGGAGTCGGCAGAGCGTCATTTGTACACGGAATCGTATAAATGCTTGTGACTCGGTGGACGCTTTGACTTTAAGAAATGCAACGAAACCAAAACGTTAAACCAGTCGTGCAACGTGAGAAGAAATCACTTGCAAAAATGTAACAAGAATAATATTGCGTGGGACGAGAGAAACATCGTAGATATCGATTTTCCCGCGAGTGAATTTGACACCCCAAACTCAAGAGCGGAGGACTAGCACCTGTTAAAGGACTGAACAAAAAAAAAGAAAGTAGAGGCGTTGCGCATCTCCCCCCCCCCCCCCTTTTTTTCGCCGATCCGCACCGTCGTCGCGGAGCTGGATCCTTAAAGATGATACGGTCAACAAAAGAGGCTGCAACCTGAGATGAGATTCTTTTTCTTCGTAATAATTATTTCGAGGTTCCCACGAACACGCGGGGGGCGTTTCGGACGAACGGGACGGACACACTGGTGCGAGCAGGTAGCGGAAGTCATCTGGACGAGAGCGGAGAGAAAGAATGGTGAGAGCGTCTTGTCTTGTTATACATCCCTGTTTGAGAAATCAACCTCAATGGATTGTATTACGCGGCGGAGAATCTTTGATCCGTGAAAAAAAGCTCAATCAATCGATAACTAATTCACATGTGCAGTTCATTATTTTATAATCTCCTTCCTTCGTTTTGTGTTTCACTTGTGCAACATTTTCAAGCCGACTTTACAATCGGATATCAAATATTACGCTACGTTTCGAGTCGCTACTGGCTGAATCAACATTGGGACAATGTTGAGAAATGATTTCGAAAGTTACATGGGCACAGGGGAAACTTGGAGGCTATTTCAGAGGTTCGCCACCTCTTCCTTTAACCGACTGGAATGCCATTGTAAAATCTGTAGAACAGAGGTTACATAGACGTACGAGGATCCAGTTCCATCTGTTTCCCACGCGGAGACATCTAAAATACTAAAACAAAACCTACCCCCACTTCCTTTCATCCAATCCTCCAGTCTAAAATGGATCCTGTCGCAGAGGATGCCGAGGGAAAAAGGGGTCCACAGTGGACAACCTGATCAAATACATTCAATATACATCCGTTATGACAACTTCCGCTACCGACAATGATCAGTCAGTCCTATACATCTCCGAGTTTCATATTCAAGTGACAAAAATTATATTTTTCAAATATTAAACTGACAGAAATAATTACGCATTTTGTTTAAAAAATATTACGTTGAACATTGTTTGACACAATTTATGTATAATACGGCGATATTTAATAATAAAAAAATAGAATTTTTTTTCAACCTCGAATAAAGTTAAAATTAATTTGAGCAGGCCAGGGAAATTTCGAGAACGGTAATTAGGATAATACTCAAAATAATAATTCTGTAAATAGCGTGCAAAAATGCTGCGTTTCTTAAGCGTCGTCCTTCAGAGCGCGATCAGAAGTAGCACATTTTTTAATGTTATCTCTCATAAAGCGGATCACGTCTCTAGATAAACAGCTCAGAAGTCACGTTTTTCTACGACACGTTTTAACACGGCACCATGTGGATCTCACGAGGACAAACAAAAATCATACGTGCACTGACTGGCATGCAATCTCGTGCTATCATTTTGCGTTTCGCTGATGCCGTTGTTTATCGTGAATCTTGCGAGCAGGTAATTTAAGCGCGTTTAAATATCGAAAGACACAAAAAGTATTATATCGAAATAGCTTCGATTAACTAGCTACTTCGATCGATGTTTAACCGGCATATTAAAACTGGCCAGCGACAGACGGAATTTCGAATTCGAACACCGTATCGTCGGATACATATTTAGTGGTATGTATTGCGAAAAATTAAATCCGAGACTTACGTCTTTTTCACTAAGGAGTATGTAATTCTTCAGCTCGTCGAGATACTGATTAATTCGAGCGCGTCGTCGTTTTTCCATAATCGGTTTGTTGCTCTGAAATAATCGGATTAAGATATTCATCACTTATTCACCACTTAATAATAGAGGAAAGTCCCCTATTGCGAGATAGGCTTCTAATATGAGACAGCAGGTTTTCAACATTCAAATTCAATCACAATCCTCTTTTGTGGCGATTACACAATTTAACAATGAATTTTCCACTAAACAGATCTCACTCCAATGGCAATAAAGTCATGGTGGAACCAACCGACAATGCCTATTAATTTAGTAGATACCTCGTTGTCTCATAATTTAGGAGCCGGTCTCATAATAGCGGACTTTCCTCTAAATACTTCTTTAAATCGTCATATCATGTCTCTCCATCTCCAATAGAACATGTCGATATAGTAATTTTTCGTATGGAAATTTTTTATGCAACAGTAGAATGATCTCATCTGATTATAAAACATTCATTACCCTCCTCAGTTCCGCTTTCGTCATTCCCGAGTGTGTTTGCGGCTCGAGTTCTTCTTCGCTGCCCAACATTTTGTAATTATGGTACTTCACCACTAAGCAGAGTTCTCAACTGTCATACCTTCCGTGCGGATGCACTTATTGCAATTAATTATTAAATTAATCCTCGAGAATTGCTCCGATTTATTGCCCACACTCACAATGTGACGAGTCAAAGTTGAACGTACGCACCGAAGAACACTGAAACTCAATTTAACAGCCAGGCGTTTCTGTGGTGTGTATGTGTGCGAATTATTTTCACGAAAATAGAAACCGAGGCTTAGTTAAAGAAAAGTATAAACAGTGTTTGGCCGGTCAGACTGTTGGCCTTATATTAACGTGTGACTTTGAAATTCTAAAGCGGTGTGTAGGGAAGTCCATCTTCGCCGATGGACGTCCCGCTTGGGGTATTGAGGGTAACTGTTTTCGATTTCGAAGACCGCATGCCGATGCACCCGTATAGAGTGGGGAAAAGTGCGTTCCGGAGTGGGATATTGGGTACCCCAAAGGTGGGGAGGTCCTCGGCCCTCCTGAGACCTGTTGATGTGTGGGAATTCACGCCGTCTGCAGGATATACCTCGTGCAACGTAGTCGCTTATTTAATTTGGGCTACATCCTGTGAAGATAATATCGGAAGTGGTTTGGGCAATTTGCAACCAGGCAGGCGATATATTTAATTCATTTTCAATTGGTACAATTATATCCTTTAAGTACTTCGACCTCTCACGAGAAAGTCCCATCGAATAAAAAAAAGAGTAACAAATAACGCACGTTACAACTCTTTCACTTTTTATTTTTGTTATTTGGTAAAGAGGTGCTACGGATATTTCCTTATTTGTAATAACGGCGTGTAAAATTCTAATGATAAAATATCACGAGCGGTATTCGAGAGGGAGAGAGAGAGGGAGATTTTATCAGTTTTTGTCACGACGCGGACGACGCGATATCAATGAAAAAGGACAGATTGTTAGCGCGCATCGACTGTAGCAGCGGTAAAGCACAAAGGCGTGCAATAGAGGATCATCTGACAGAGAAGGGCAAACATTGCGTGCCGGCGATGTGTATGTGCGTGCGTATGCGCGCGTCATAAGTGTGGCTGGCGTGTGCAACGCGATCCGATGCACGGTTTACACGGGTGCATACGAGAGCGAATGCGGGGCCTCTCACGTGGGAATTGTTTTAAAATGTGCTGTTATTTATCTGTACAAAGCTGTCGCTGTTAACGCAGTGACATGTTCTGACGTACTCGCTATTTGTAAAATGTGAATGTATAATAAAACGCGGCTTTATTTTTCTTCTCTTTTTTACGCACATTTTAGAGGAAAAACCTTAATTCGTATACATCTCTCCATGAAATTACGAATTAAAAATAACGAAGTTATTTTCGGGCTATGAGATAGATAATTAACGGTTAAAATTTCGTCACGATTTTTAGTGGTACGCTTACTAGATAACGTAAAAACGTTGATGAAGATATAAAAATGTAGGAAGCGATATCACGTAGGAAAAATATGCATTTGAAACGGTATGCAAACAAATGCATAATAAAAATAGGTTTGTTCAAAAAGTTCTGGCATTTTGTTATTATTTTTTATAATTTTTGGAGCTTTATTTACAATTTTTTCAGCTCTAATTTCGTCGAAAAACGTTCCTTTTCGGTTGAAACACTTCGAACGTTTTCGTTTCTGAAAACAGTCTTGGGAAGCGGCTTTCGAAACAGCGCGTAAGTCTGTCCACAAATTTTTCCTATTTTCAGTTGTGACGAAAGTTCGCTCTTTCAAAGAGAAATGATGAATGAACAGGAATGCATGTACAAACGCGTTGTCATGTGGTGGAGGAACAATGAATTGTTTTTCTACACTTCAGGCCATTTTTGCCTGACATTCTCTCGACCCGATCCCTACACACGTTTTCACAACGAAATCTACATTGAGAGGCCACAGGACTGAAATATTGGAAAGAAAATTCACGGACGAACTTCCGTCGAAACGCATTTCAGGATTGCTTCCAGAAGTGGAAACGACGTTCAGAGAATTGTATCAAGGAAGAAACGTATTTCAAAGGGGATAAAACTATTTCAATGGGAGTAAATTATAAATAAACCCGCGAAAATTATAAAGACAAAATCCGGGAGTTTTTTAAACAAATCTTATATAACTTCATAATTTGTAAACGTAAGACGACATTCGTTTGCTATTAAAATCAGTTGGGCCTCGAACAATGACCATGGCAATAAATCTTTATGATTTGAACGTTATGGTTTAAATTATACCGAAAAACTTTTTATTAATACGTTCAGCACGAATTTCTTCCGGCAATTTGTGCCCGTTGCTCCTCCTAAATCACTTACTTACTATATATCGCTATTGTATCGAATACCTACACATTATGTCAACCTTTGAGAATATATCTCACAGGGTGCAGACACATTTATTGCAGCAGAGATACAGTAGACCCAAGTAAGACTCAATAACTACTTTATTACGCTGCTGAATTGACATTTACAGTTACGTCCCACTTAAATCAGTTGTAATCTACACCCTTGTCATCAAAATTATTTCCAAACAAGTTAATTTTATGCGCACAATTTTTTCCAACATTTTATTGCTCTATCGTGGTAGAAAATAATGTACACGGCAAGCAATGATGCTGCATCAACCAGGCCAGTGTAATTGAAATAAATGTCGTTGAAACGACATCAGTATTGATGAATGAAAAACATCAGATAGTTGTCTTAATAATTTGGATATTTAGTTCAATGCTTAAAATTAAAATCCATAGCAAATACAATTGAATGAATTATTTCTGTTTGTGGCAGCCCGTGACGTTAACGTTTCATTCAAGCGATTTTATTTTTTTGTAAATTTAACAGCATTTTTTCGTGTATATATTCCGAAAAGAACGAAATGAGTCATGCACGGTACAGGCAAAAATACTACACGCGAAAGAATCTCTACGTTAGTAGTTCGCGATATATCGTGAATACGCGCGGGAGATTTAGTTACGATAAATTACCCCATTTACAGAAGCAGCTGTGCGTTTCACATTCAAGATGCTAATTGTGAGCAATGAGAGCTCTTTAGCTATGACTGGGTTATTAGCCGTTTAAAAATCAGATCCTTACGTGACAAGATGACTCGATAAACGCAACCGAGCTATAGTCGAAATTTTTTTCACGTTCATGCACTTTAAGTATCCCTGTTCAGATGTCAAGATTTAACAAAGGATTCAATGTTTACGACATATAAACCCTTTCGCGTTTGATAGAAGCATTTGATGTGTTAACCTGATAAATAACAATCAATTGACAAGCAGCTGCGACTTGCAATTTATACAAAGAATTTCAAAACACAATTAATAATTTTGCTTATCATGAATTTAAATCACCTTCACGTTAGTTTGGTGTGAAAATTAAATTTAAATATTATTAATTTAGACGTTGTGGATGCAGAGATTAAAAAGTAATATTGTCACATCTTAAGAAATAGAGAGAAACAGAAACACTTCTTCACTTTGGCCCGAGGCCAACTGTCCGTTACATCCCGGAAAATAGACCCTTTTGTGATGACTTATTTTATGTCTTTACTTGTAACCACTAAAGAGGCATAGCCTTGAGATTGATACATTATTGCGCCCAAGTTATAAAACTAATGTCGGACAGTAAAGTTTTTCTAGGCCTCTTTAGCTTTTACATTTACGTCAGTAAATGTCTAATTTATGTTTTTGAAAGGGTATGAATGGCTTTAAAGAAAAATGGATCGCTCCATCTTGAGTCTTGTTTTTGCACCTTTTTCAGGTATAACTACCTATGGGCAATTCGTGTATTACTTAATGCTTAAAAGTTCTTTCTAATATAAATACAAAATATACTCTATATAGCAAATATATATAAGAATATATAAAATTTTTATTTAATTTTTATTTATTTTTTATTAAGTACCGAATATTATAAAAGCGTAACAAATATATAAAGGGGACTGAAAAAATATAAAATAATAATTTGCCAATTTATCTGTAAAAATATTGGCGTTATGAAGCAAACAATTATGTAGATTAACAAGTGTTGGGTAAGCAAATTTTGCTTTGTTACGTCCACTTGCACGAGATCCTTTCTTTTTCCCATGATCCATAATTTCCCATAAATATTCCAGCCTAGCTGTCATAACGGAAGGCGTTCGGTCAGATGTCGCGACCTTCTCATTAACCCCAGGGAGGCTGAGAGCGCCAGAGTACTTGGCTTGACCACAAACTTCTCGAGAAGGATCAAGAAGGCGCGTCACGTCTTAAATTTGGAACGCCCATCCTCCGATCCTGCTGCTCTTGAGGTTCGATCTTGGGATGCACCTGCAGCTCGCACCCACGCAGTCATCGTGCAGGAAGGAAACGTTACCCCTAAGTCTCGAAATCTTCATTTCCGCTCGCGATATGTGGAAGCTGGCGTCTTGAGTTTAAAGAGAACCCTCTTTCTAGTTTCTGTGCGAGTCTCGCATTAAATATGTTCATTGCGTAATGTACTATATTAACCGAAAAAACCATCTAATTACCGGAAAGAGACCATAAAACGTACACGAGAACTAGAATCCATGCGAGTATTAATATAATGCGTATAGCGAACCCTATTATATCGGTGTTGAGGCATGCAAACCGGCTAAAAAATATACGCGTGGGGTCGATAAAACGACATCTGGATTGTCGTCCCCGGGAAACGCAGTTGGAAATGCAGGAAAATATAACTCGTTTCCGTGGGATTCGATGAAAAAACCCACCGGCGTCACTTATAATGTTCGCCGTTTGTTTCTTCCAAAAGGGTGACATTTAGATTAGAATACTCTAATAACAATCTTGTAATAAATTTTTATCTCCTCAATGATTAGACTCGAATCTTAAAATAATATGAGGCAATTTCAAACTATTATACTTGTATAACACCTAGAAAAAGTGTTCTCTAAAATTCAAAGTTTGTCTCAATGCATTGTTTTCTAAATATTTTCCAATGGCATATTTTAAATAAATAATTGAAACGCAGGTATCAGTAACTACAAGTCGATTTCAACGAAAAGGAAAATACAAGGAGAGACTATAATATAACTGAGCCTTTATACGGTAAATCGTCGTAAAAGGTAACACGAATATCTTTGGCACAATAGTCTTGAAATCCCAATCGTGAATCAAAAATATTCCATTCAGTCGAATTGGGTCAGTGGGTTTTACCGCTGGGAATCGAGTCGTGTGCTGGACACACGTAAAGAAAAATACTTTACAATAGCAAGCTCGTTCAAGTAACACTTCAGTTACGGGCAACAATTTTTACATCAATTATTTCCGCGAGA